ATATTAATTATGCGACAGCACTGTGCTCTAATTATAATGACAGGCGATTGTGCTCTCCTCTCCATGTCAATTTATCTATAGGAGGGCAGCGAAGGCAAACGCTAATATTCCATATGATTATTTAGGATATTAACTGTGAGAATTGATTCTCTGTTTCTCGGTATATTGGCCTGGGGGAGCTCCCTCAGAGACCGCTAGTGACATGCAGATAGTTTGAAATGTTAAGGTTCAGAAATTTTGATTGCATCACCTGTGAGGGATGTATGAAGGAATGAACTATGTGAACCCGATGTTCCCACCACCGAACATATGCTTTGTATGAATTCTGCTCACGGGGTGATCTGTGAGTCTGGGGGCAAAAAGTTAAACCTGTGAAAATAATCTTGTCTGAATACTGCACAAATAATGTATGAACTATTCAAAGTTGTTTTGTGAAGAGAGAAAAATAGCCCAGAGCTGCTCAGGGATTGTTTGGGGCATTTCTCAAGCTCTCAGTGATGTGCACTGTACAAACTCTGCACGAGTTCTAGAAAAGTCATATTTCTTTGGCTGCTTTTTATAAGATATGATGTCTTTGTAAATAGACATTAGTACAAATGAAAAGACAGTAAAACAAGACAGTGGCTGCTTTTTCAAGCTCTTTTCCTTCAAGTTTTTTTGGAGTATGGTCACAAATGAAGAAAAGAGAACTGGATGTCTTCAACCATTCAGATGGACTTCCCTCACAGAGTGATTAACAAGTGCTTAACCTCAGTGAATCTCTAATTTTTTTTTTTAAGACAAAGCTATTTTGTATTCCCTGCAAAAAAACAAAAAAGTCCTAAAGACTCCATGAAGTCAGTGTTAGCCCTGATTTGTCTTTGGTTCCCACAGACTAGTTATTTTTACCATATTATCATGTCTGTGTGTCCTTTAGTTGTTCAGTTGAAACCAATGTAATATGTACAGTAGACTATTACATTTAATATATAATATGTTATTTTTTTTTTTTAAGACAAAGCTATTTTGTATTCCCTGCAAAAAAAATAAAAATGTCCTAAAGACTTGACCTGATTTGTCTTTGGTTCCCACAGACTAGTTATGTTTACCATATTATCATGTATGTGTGTCCTTTAGTTGTTCAGTTGAAACCAATGTAATATGTACAGTAGACTATTACATTTAATATATAATATGTTATTCATTGTATTTGCATAAATGTGCTGTGACATCGTAAATTTGACACTGTGATTTTGAGATGAAGCAAAAGAGCAGCAGCCTGTTATTGTACAATAGCAGCAAAATTGCTTTTGAAGCTGAATATGATGCTTGACTCGAATTATCCACTTCAGCCACCATACTATCCACTTACTGCTGCCTATATATGGAAGATATATCATTCTGCTATATTGTTTTTCCATCCTGTGATGTTAGCATGGACAGTCCACTCTCCATTGGCACATGATGAGGGAACATGTTGCAGGCATTCACGCGTTTTATCTACAAGACCCCTCGCCATCTTGTCGGACACGTATACTCAATCATCTGTGAGAGTGAATGGCCATGGACCGTCTGGAACAGAACCCACGCACCCTTTCAAGACCCTCTCATTCTCTTCTCTCATATATCAAAAGAGAAGCACCTGAGGCACTGAAGCAATAATGTAGTATAAATGAAATTTCCTGCAAGGCTTATTGATGTCATTAAACACAAGCATATTGCACTTCACAACCATTTTATGTTTCATCACATTGCTTGACATTTAGTGAATTAGGTACTGTTGAGCTGCCTGTGTCTTCCTACCGTCATCGGCGTCGCCGCCTCCGCCACGGTCTGTAGAGATATCCGTCATCTCATTTAGACCCGCTGACCGCTGACGAGCGCTAATATCCCTTTGCATTTGCTCATTTGAGCCTAATGTACTTTTGGTGTTTGTAATCAAATAAGCAATAGCTTAGGCTATGCCTTATGGCTTTAAATGAGTATGTAACCATTACGGTTGCATTATTACTCTATCTAAAGGTTTTGTTTTGAGTTTTTTCCGCCCCTCTGTGTCATGATTGTGGGTATGAATTCATATGCACATTTGTTGTATTGATTCTCTGCATATGAAGTCACAGATCATTTTTTGATTGGATTTTTATTATCCTATTAATATATTAAATTTGATCTAGTCTAAACCAGTGGTTCTCAAATGGTTTACTTCAGGAATTTAGGAGGTTTTACATTTGAACGTCAGTTGTGGACCCTAAAGTACATAGTACTGGAATTGTTCATTGTGTAAAATGCAGAAATAGAGAGATTAACTTTATTAATTTATTAACCATAATTTGATAATTATTAGTTGAGATGTGTTCAGATGTTGTTGTTTTTACAGACTTGACTTGTCTTTATACTTCATAATTTATAGTGAGTTTTTTTTTTTTGAAAATGTCTTTATATTCAGTTTCATTTTCTTCAGACATTCTTCGTCATTTACTGCACAAAATAATGTCTGCCAATTTGTTACCATTTAAGTTATACATACATACATTCACATATATATATGTGTGTGTGTGTATATATATGTTTATTTATATA